TTTTTTTTCGGTTTTGTTATTTGCCTAAGAGAATTAGAGAACATGAATGAAAGTCAAAAGAAATTTCAGAACAATTACCTAAAAGATTGACATAAGATGAAGGTATGATTTGGTGTTGGTAAGGCTAAGGGTCTGTAGGTTGTAAAGCACAACAGTATGGCCCTGAGAACTAAAAAGGAGAGAGGGGTTATGCTGTATTCCATTGGAAGGAATAGCAAATGAAAAGCAGAGTAGATAAAATGGAATTTTTAGATCAGGTTTAGAGCATTCGCTAAGAAATATAAAGTCTCAATATATTTAGAGACCCATATGGAGTGAAGAAAACTCAAGATACAGAAACAGGATTAAAGAAGGAAACATTTTGAAAACAGTAGAAGCAGAGGAGAGGTGATCATTTGGAACCTGTGAAGACGTGGTAGGTTGGGGTGGTCCATAATGTGATAATAGTAGAATGCAGAGGAAAGCAGATGGAGTACTGTTAGGCCACAGTCATTGATTTTTGCTTAATGGCACAGTCTTAGAGCTGTAAGAATAACAAATGCCACAAAAAGATGGTAAGAGCTGCAATGATTTTGGCAATAATTGAACAGCACAATTTGTCCTTAATTAGGTCCTTGGGTTCCTGGGTGGCATAAAAGATTTGTGCTGGATTACTAACCTAAAGGTTGGTGGGTTTGAACCCACCTAGCTGAACCATCAGAGAAACGCCTCACAATCTGCTTCCATAAAGATTACAGCCAAGAAAACCCAACTGGGGCAGTTCTCTGTAACACGTGGGATCACCGTGAGTCGGAATTGACTCGATGGTGATGGGTGTTTGTTTTGCCTTTAAAATCAATTAATCCAGTGTTTACTATGAACATTATTTTAATCCTTAGAGTGAGGATTCCAGGGTACACTTTTTGCTGTATTAATATGTAGTTACTTCTGACTTTAATATAGCTTAGAAGTTGCTTAAACATTTAGACAACTAAGAAATAGAACAAGTCTGTTTCCTTAGTTGTATAGGGTACTTTAGTACTTTGGCTACTTTTTTTTTCTTTTGCATATTTTCTTTCCAATATTGGTATTTTATAATTGAACAATTACTGAGTTGTTTTTTTTTTTAAGTGTTGCTGTCAGCTGTTTGATGATTATGTGTGAATCTTTTGCCTAAATTTAGCCACATTTCTGAGATTTTATTTTTTTTAATTGTGCTTTAGAGGAGGGTTTACAGAACAAATAGTTTCTCATTAAACAGTCAGTACACGTATTGTTGTATGACATTGGTTAACAACCCCACAACATGTCAACACTGTCCCTTCTCAACCTTGGGTTCCCTATCACCAGCTTTCCTGTCCCCTCCTGCCTTCTAGTCCTTGCCCCTGGACTGCTGTGCCTCATTAGTCCTGTTTTGTTTTATGAGGCTGTCCAATCCCTGACTGAATGGTAAACTTCGGGAGTGACTTCACCACTGAGCTAAAAGGGCTTCCAGGGGCTGTTTTTTTTTTTTTTTTTTTTAAAGGTCTGCTAGTTGCAATGCTGGAGAGATTTCAGTTTAAATGGGTGTAATAATCTTAGCCTTGGTTATTGACTGGACACTGAGATCTTTGTTTCTTAGTAAAATTTTGAATTTTATTCAGAAGTTCTCTTATCCCTTTGACTTCTAGTAAGGACATGATTTCTGGCCACCCTTGTTTTTGCCCCTTGGCTAACTCTTTGGTCTGGTTGCTTTTCCAGCCTAAGTTTACTGTTCTCAGTTTATCTGATGTCAGAGGTACAGGTCGAGGAAGACATAGGGATATGAGTTTGTTTTCTTACAAAGGTAAATTTGTTTTTCTCAGATTATGATCTTTTTAATGAAATAATGTCAACTTTAGGGAATCAGTAAAATTCTGAGAACCCCAAAGAAGAAAATAAAATTTTTTCTAGTAGTTCTAGTTTGTTGAGTGACATTTAAGTAATTCATATATACTTTTTTTTTAAAAAGTAAACACTTTTAAAAGAATGTACCAATGATTTTTAAAGACAGCATCCTGAGTTATTTATTTAAATATAATTTTAGGATAATTTAAATCTTGACACCCTCCCCCTAAATAGTATGTTGGTGTTTTTCTCCCGAACGTATTAGGAAAGAAGTTGAATCAGTTTGAATTCGGACTTCAGGAAGACAGGGTACTGCAAATACAGTAAATCTTTTGGTCCTGTGTTAAAATGAGGAGATACTTACATTTCTGTAGTTAAATATTATTTATAGGAAAAAAAATGAGTCACAGGGATGAGATTAAGGGCCTAAAGTTTAAGATCATTTACAGTTTTCTACAATTCAAAGTCTTTTAAGATTTAAAGGATAAGTCTCATGTAAGATTTGGACAGATTTTGGGAGCTGAAATAACTAGAGCTAATATTTACACAAGGAGCCCTGGAGGCCCAGTGGTTAAGTGCTCAGCTGCTAACTGAAAGGTCGGCAGTCCGAACCCACTAGGTGCTCAGCGGGAGAAAAGACCTGGCGATCTGCCTCTATAAAGATTACAGCCCAGGAAACTCTAGGGGCAGTTCTATCGTCTAGGGCCGCTGTGAGTCGGAATAGCCTGGAGGGCACACAACAACAACAACAATATGTACACATGGGGAAACAACGTATACATATGAGGGATAGAAACCTCAGGCTGTACTCAAGAGAAATCAGCACAGGGAACTCCAAGAGCTCAGTACTGCATTTATTGGAAGGCATCTCAGCTTTAGAAAATGGAGTAGATGGATTAGGATTGAGAAGGATTAATCATTTGAACATAGAAAACTAGATAAAAATTAGGCATTTGTTCACTGAGTCAGTAACTGTAATAATAGTACATTTTTGCTCCAACAATAAGATTTTTTTTTAAAAACGTGACAATAATTTGAACTTGACTGGGAGACAAATCTGGTGATGTTATGGTGTTGCGCCTTCTGTATCTTTTCTTCATGCTTATTGGAAAAACAGGCTCTTAGTATAAGCAGTGGTTTCAAGCATGGGATTTTGAACCAGTCTGTTTAATTCCTGGTTCCACTACTTACTAGTGGTGTGACTTTAGGCAAGATGCTTAACCTCTTTGCCTCAGTTTCCTCATCTTTAAAATGAAATATTATAATGGTTAATAATAGTGTAGCTAACTCTCTAAGGCTTCAATGAGTTTATGCATGGAAAGCATTTAGAACTGTATCTCTCACACAGTGCTAAATAATAACAGATCAGATACACTGCTCAAAAAATGGAAATAATTAATAAGGCAATTATGTTTATCAAGCACTAATTCTTAGAAATTAGTAGGAGTGGGCATCCTGTAAAATTATTTCTTAAATCAAACTGCCTTTGTCTTACAGAAAACTAAAAACAATACTCTTGAAAGTTTACAATCTGTCTACAACTTTTACTATTAAGAATTCTCCTTCAGAGTGTTGCATTTTTTAATTTGCCTGGATTCTGACTTTCTCTGTCCTGGTTTATACTGGCCCTGTTGCTTTCGACAGCATCCAGATACCAAGATGACTATACAACAGGAAAGAAAGATGACAGAGGTACAAAATGCCACAGGAACCAGCCACGTCTTTGGAATCACAGATGCCCTATCAGATGTCTCGTCTTCAGTATCAGATGTGTGGTTTCTGGCATTGTACCCCTTGGTTTTGTTTAGAAATTGTTTGCTACTATTGAGTTGGGATGGAATAGGTATATGAGAAAGTTTTGTGTCTGTGGGCACAAAGAAGGGAGAAACGGTCTTATTATCTGGATTGTTGATGAAATCAGTACTTGGTGACACCATATTTACCTTTGTGGTAATGGAGTCATTCATGGAAATGAATCTTGCCCAAGAATCTGTGGTTAATTCCTTGGAATAACTGGTATTGTTTGTGTTTACAACCAAGTCTTGATGTGTGGTTGGTGATGGAGCCTCTCTTGACAGTAGCATTTGGTTTACCATGGTGGTTTGTTGTTTATTTAAATTCATGGCTTTTAGAATCCTTAGTCTGTCCCACCTATTAGGTGAAGAACGAGTATTTAGGTATTTGGGAGGTGATTGTTCAAAGACCAGCAAATCTGGATCTATACCTGAAAAAGAAATAAAGCATCATTCATTTTTTGTTTCTTTTTTCATTTCAAAGAGAGGACCTGAAAGCACAGTTTGAAGAGGTCTTGGGCTTTGCCATTATGAGTTCCCGAACTAAGCCAATTTCAACTTCTATCATTACTTGCATCTGCGAGGCTGAAAAACATACTCGCTTCACATGAATTTTTCTTGAGGGCGCTGGGTGGTGCAAACAGTTTGTGCGCATCTACTAACCTAAAGGTTGGTGGTTGAAACTGACCCAACAGCACTGCAGAAGAAAGACCTGGTGGTTTACTTCCATAAAGATTACAGCCAAGAAAACCCTGTGAAGCATGCTGACACATTGTGAAAATTGTAAGCAGTGTCACAGAACAATTTGTGTAGAAATTGTTAAATGGGAACCTAATTTGCTGTGTAAAGTTTCACCTAAAATGCAATAAGATGTTAAAAAATCCCATGGAGCAATTCTACTTTCATGGGGTTGCCATGAGTTGGAATCAACTTGATGGCAACAGAGTTTGCTTGCTTGTTTTTTTTTTTTTAATCATTGCACACTTCTGAGAGGCTTAAAAACCACTGGCTACACTTGAATTTATCTTGACTTTCTAGGACACTTTCTGTTATGAAAAAATTTGACTACACCAAGGAGAATGCTTTGTGTCTGTCAGGACTCTTGAGCAATAATAGCAAATATTAGTGCAAGAGCGGCAGATATACTACCCATTTGAAATACTGTGTAGCATTTTTTGTAAAGTTAAACAAAATAGGGCTTGAAAAGTAAAACTGTATTAAAATGAGCAAAGCCCGAATTCTCATCCCTTTTTCAATCCCTGAAGGTCCTGACTTTGTCTTCAGTATTTTCTTTCTGTATATGAACTCCTTTCCCTCTGACTTTACGTAATATTGCTTTGTCTTTAGAAGGGAAGAAAGAAACCTCTAAACAGCTTAACAGTTTTCCAGCTGTCCCTGTTGACAACCACACTGTTTCCTTCTTTCCTCTTTCCTCTCTTTTCTCTCCTGTGTCTCTTTTGCCAAACATACCAACATCCATCTCCTTTCTGATTATTTTGCCTTCTATAAGCTTGTTTCTATCCTTATTACTCTGTGAAAATTATGCTTATGAAGTAATCAGTAGTTTCCTTCTTGATTATTTATGACTCTTTGCTCTGGCCTCCCTGGCCTTTACACATCCTCTGGCTATTCTCTTTTTGAGGCTCTTCTCCCATGACTCTCTGGACCTGACTCCCTTGGCACTTTACCCCAGACTCCCTGTCTCTCTTCTCTTTCTTTTGCTGTTCTCTTCTTGCCTCACCCTCAATTGTGGGGTTTCTACAATCTTCAGTCTTTGGCCTTCTGTTGTATTTTCTCTTTACATCCCTCCCTCAGAGATTATCCTCATCAACTGTCCCCACTACACTGATGGCACTAAAATCCCTGTCACCAGTTGTTTCCTCTTTTTTGAGCTCTGATGTCATTTCTCTTGTGGCCTACTGGAGATTCCCCCTGAGATCTCACATTATGTCTAACCCAGTATGCCCAAAGCCAAAGCCATTTTGTCTGCCTCCTACCACCATTCTTCCATCACCACGCTGGGAACTTCAGAGTGATTTTTTACTCCTCTTCATTTCAGCTCCTCTCTCCCGTTCATTTCATTCATCCAAAGAGTAGCTAAGTCCTATCCAATCTCCCTTCCCAGTGTTATGGTAATCATCCCTCCTCTTCATTGCAACCACGATCACCTTGCCCAGATCTGATGCGTCACTGACTATATTTTTCAACCTGTATCCAACATATACTTTTTCTAGACTGGGTATCCAGACTCATATCATTTAGGCATTTTCTCAATAAATACCTCTGACAAAGTTAAATCAAAACTTCTATCTGCCTAAGCCCTTTTATTACCTGGCCCTTCCCTATCTTAGCCATAATTTCATTACAAGACAAAAGGTGTTCTTATTGTAACTAGACCAGTTTTCTTTCCCATGGCTTGTGAAAGAATTCTTTACCTTGCCTGTTCCATGAAGTCTTCCCCTGAATAATCTAGCTTACATTAATCTTCTCCTGTTTTGAGCATTTGTACTTGAGACAGTATCACACATTTTTTATTTAATTATGTCCTACACTATTTGTAAGACTTGTCACATCAACTGGATTATAGGAACTTGAGGGCAGAGACATGGCTGCGATCTTCCATAATGTTGAGCACAGCCTGTAGCATTAGGTGTTTGATAAGTACAAGGTGATAAAGAAAGGTATTTCCTTTATATTTTGATAACAAAAACCTTTTATGATCACTGATATATACCCTGAGATTACCTACATAGGCAAAAACCCAAACCCGTTGCCATCGAGTTGATTCCGATTCATACCAAACCTATAGGACAGAGTGGCTGTGGATTCAAACTGCCAACCTCTTGGCTACTAGCCAAGCTCTTAACTACTGAGCCACCAGGGCTCCACCGTGGACAAAGGATACTTAAATAAGTATTTTTCTAAAAAATTACTTGTATCTTGGGACCAATGATATGTTGATGTGTTGCCAGTAAGTGGTAACAAGTTTCCTAGTCCCTAACTTCCATCTTTGCAGAATCCTTGTATGCAGTGTTCACAGTCCTCAAAACTGCCATTGAGCATTTTTTTTTATTTCCTAGTAGCACCGTCAGCCACTGCACTAGAAATGCCTACTTTGGCTCTTACTGAGGGTACTTGGTATAAATGAAATGTAAAGCTTAAGCTCTTATTCAGTGGCATGCGATTTGTTATTACCTGGAGTAAGCTCATCGTTGTTGAACATGCCAAACTAAAGGGAATTTCTTTTTTAGTTTTTTGCCTGGATGCCTAAAACCTTCCAGAAAGAATTCAATGGAAAATAATAATTTAGAGATTCGTACATGGCTATTGCCTGCCAGTTTCTAGCTCTTTGCTTCTACTAGAGTATTACCAACATTTTTCAAAGTCTTGAACTATATACTTCATTACCTTCTGTTATGTTGTACAAAATGGCGCTGGTTCCAGGCTGTAATATGCAGCTTTCCAAGGTGGGGCAGTGAATATGGAGGCAGTTGACATTGTCATGAATGGGATCATGGTAGAAGACAGCCAGGTTACAGGAAACTGTAAGGGAAACAGTACATCTGCAGATAGTCTTGATTTCCACTTGAGTTCTGAGTAACCATATTTCTTTCAAGAACACTGGATTAACTTGAGTATATTGTAGGGTTATGTTTGGAGAGCGTACAGAACATTTTGAACAATTGTAACTGTGTTTCTGTGAATTTGGAAAATGTCATCTTAAAGAAAATAGCTACTGATTTTTCTCTAGTAATCTTTTATACATTCTATTCTACATAACATTGCCTGGAATCATTATTTCCCAATCCCAGTAGTTTATGTTAGTAAAAAATTCAATTTGCTGCAAAAACCTCTGGTGATTTTTGTAGCAGGTTTCTCGGTGCAATGCTGTCTCAGAATGCTAAGGTGCTGAGGGTCATCAGAGAAAAAAATAGGAAAATAAAGGGACAACTGCGGTAACAGAAGAAGAGGAAAAACAGGAAGGGCAAAAACAGTAATGAGTGCATTACTGGGCGAGGCAGCAGGCCAAGTGAACATGACCCTTGACCCAGACTGCAGGTGTACACTAGCCCGATGTGGCAAAACTATATCAGAAGAAAAGCCTAATCTGTGTCATTTGAAGAGGAAGGGAATGAATAGATAGGGATGTTAGCACTTGGAATTCTAGCAGTGGAGGGGCACATCATTTGCTCATGCTGTCTTGCCTTTTCTAAGTAAATTTGCTCCTTAAAACATACTGTGTTATTTCTGGAAAAGCTTAAGTCATATTTGTTGAATGTAAATCTTGAGTTTATCTCCATAAAGTACAGCACAGACTTTCCTCCCACTGCAGCATAGTAGGAACCATGTGATGTGAAATATGCATTGGTCAAAAAGTATCAATTTCTCTAATAAAATAAGATTAGAGAGACATAGTGTATGATTACCAGACCTCAGAGCATGCCTAAAGCTGCTGTGGAATTGCTGTGAGCAGAGCCTGTGCTGCTGCTGTGTTAACTGTGGAGAGTTGTATCTCTACTGGTACTTCTGGGACACCCAATGTTTCTGTACTTTTTATTTTTCCAGAAGTAGAAAGAATAAGACAGAAGGCAGTTAATAATACATTGCTAACACATTGTCGTTGTTGTGTGCCATCGAGTCGACTCCAACTCATAGTGACCCTATAAGACAGAGTAGAACTGCCCCATAGGGTGTCCTGTAGTATTTACAGCATAATGTCCACCAGGAACTGGTCCCTTCTGATAACATGTCCAAAGTACGTGAGACGAAGTCTCGCCGTCCACACCTCTAAGGAGCGTTCTGGCTGTACTTTGTCCAAGACAGATTTGTTCATTCTTCTGGCAGTCCATGGTATATTCAGTTTTCTTTGCCAACACCATAATTCAGATGAATCATGCTTGGTAAAAAGAGGAAGACCCTCAACGAGATGGATTGACACAGTGGCTGCAACAATGGGCTCAAACATAACTATGATTGTGAGGATGGCACAGTACCAGACAGTGCTTGGTTCTGTTGTACATAGGGTCACTATAAGTCGGAACTGACTCGACAGCACCTAACAACAACAACAGTATTTTTTACAGGAGCAGATTGCCAGGTCTTTTCTTCCATAGAGCTGCTGGTGGGTTTGAACTGCAGACATTTTGGTTTACAGCTGAGTGCTTAACCATTGCACCACCAGGGCTCTTTGCTAATATAGTATAGATTACACATACATTCCCTGAGGACTATCCTGTAAGAAATTGGGAGTTTCTGATTTCTAGAGAAAAATTTTTAAAGCTATTGTTTACATTCCTTGTGTGTATTTCAGAGTCCCAGCTCCGAGCAGTTTAGCTACTATAGGATGGTGGCATTTTTAAGTTCTAGTTGCCAGCTGAAAACTGAGTTATGGGAAAATTCATGCCCCAGCACCCCACTCCTAACCCCTAGTGAAGGCTTATGGGAGTGAAAAGCAGCTGGAAGGGAAAATCTGGATTGTCTATCTTTTCAAAAAGATTCTCCTCGATTAATTTCTCTCTTCTATGCCTGATTGACTTGTGAGGGCTTAGCCTATGTCAGCTTCTTGAAACATGTGGTCTCTTGACAGTCTGTTTAGACTCTCCAAGTAGCTCCAATTTGCATCCCAGAAATCATGTGTGCATAATTGCATATGAGGCCTTGGCAATTAATAAGTACATATCCAACTATGGAAAGAAAGTATGGAGCAACCAAGAGAATTATTTTAAAAGGTTATGTTCCTCTGTTGTTTCCAAGTGACTTTAAAATCTTGAAATAACTGGAAAAATAAATGCAGTCTTTAGACAGTTGTAACCTGAAATTTGGCAACAGTGAGATGTTTTCCTAATGACAGGCCTTGATCATATATGGATTGAGACAAAAATCTATTTAGATATTTTGGAAATTTTTTTGCTACTTGACATATATCTTTTTATTTCTTTCAAAGCACATGAATCACACTCTAAATTCCTGTCCAACACTTCTCACCTTTGGTCAATGCAAGTAAGTGTATTTCAGAAATTTTATATGATACCAATACACCCACTCCTCACTTATTGGTAAGGTTCCAAAGACCGGGTGGTTATGTGAAAATCATCATTTATGGGAAAATGGAGGATGACCACATCATTACATAATTTCCAAATTACATCCTTATTTAACTGCCAAAATACATCATTACGTAACTGCCAAACCACTGAGAATCATGGTCCAGCAAGCTGACACATAGCCTTAACCATCACAGCTAGCGTTACTCTCGCCTTACACCTTGGCATTCATTACTGCTGGACATATACGCCGTTAATGCACAAAATAGATAGTAGATTTTGTTATTGTTGTCGTAAATGTGAAATGCTGGATAACGAGATAGTCGATAAGTGAGGAGTACATGTATCACTAAAAGGTACTTTGAAAATGAAATTATAAACATTTCTGAAATCATCTGTTATATTCTGGGGCTTTAAAAACATTGTTAACTCTGGAGGGTTTAGCACTTTGGTGAAGAAAAAGAGAGTCTCTGTTACTTGTCGTTTCCATCACATTCTGGGGTCATAACTACATTTGTAAACAGAGCCGATCTGGCCCAAACTGCAAAACACTCTAAGTCAGTATAGTCAGAGTTGGAGTCTCTCTCGCTATCTCCCACCCCCATCCCAGAGCATCTTCTCTAGTTCTTTTAACTGCTTACTGGCCCTCTGCTTAGGGCTCCTTTCTTAGGTCTTCATTCCTGGAAGTTTCCCCTTATTTTTGCTCAGGCACAGCATTAGTACTTACCATCCTTCCTAAGACAGCAGTTCCTACTGCACTTCTGGCCAGTACTTTCAGAATAATACTTCAAGAACTGGGCTCCCAGCTTCTGAGACTCATCCAGGTCAACTAGAAGACCCGGAAAGCGATGGATCCAGCAGTCTCTGTAAAGAATTGTGGGGGAGCAGAGAGAGTCTGATGTCCACCCCATACTCAGGAGCAATATCACACCTGTGGTCACCACTGACACGTGCATTTCCCTAGTATGAAGACTCAGCAGTAAGTCTGATTTCCAGACAGAAGCTGGAGCTGACCAGCAGAATCTAGGACAGTTTTGGGAACTCTGAGGCTCTTGTTAAGAGAGAACTTCTCTGGGACGCTTATGGAGGGTCACCTTCTAGAAAACTGCAGCCACTCTTGGATTGCATACTGATTTTTCTTTTGTTTCTTCTCAGTTGAGCTCAGGTGAACATTTGACTTTCTAGTGTCTTTTCTGAACACTTCCCAGGTTATTTCAATACTTTGTCCTTTAGCCTCTTGAAGAAGTGGATTCTCTCCTCTGCTTTTCTTCTTTCTCTGAAGGTGAATAGTCACAAACACCTTTTACTAAGTAAATATAAAGACAAATGGAAATCCTAGTCAAGATTCTTTCTGAGGAAAACAATAATTTAGTCACTTGAGCATCAGATAAAGGGAAGATTTGTTTCGCCAGGAACAAGACATCACTTTGTGAGGCTACTTCTGTATGGTTTTTAAGGAACCTGTGACTGCAGATTACTGTTCAATCATTTCTCTCTCTCTCTCTCTTTTTTTTTTTTAAATTTAAGTTATGGTATTCAGGTTCACTAGAAAACCAGTTTGTAGTTTAAACTTTTAAACATTGGTTTAAACTTTTTGCTAAGAATATACAATAAAACTTGAAAATAAGTAAAAACTGAAAATGAAATAAAATTAAAAATCTTAACTTTGCAGTGATTGCATAAACATTGAATCTGGATTCTGGTCACTTCTTAGGGCTAGGTATTTTTCATAAAGGCCAGCCACAAGCTGTCTTCTTAGGAGACTGAAGATCAGCCAATAGAACATGCTTGTAATGTAGATGGAATGGAACACCCCCAAGGTGTATGCTATTCAACCAAGAATAAAAAGTGTAATTTACAATGAAAATTGTAAAGAAGTTCAAATTGGGGGGTTGTCTAATATGTTTTCTGATATTCTTGTTCACAAGTTAAAAAGGTCACGTCTTTGTAAAGTATACATATAAAGGAGTAGTATCTCTGAAGCAGAAGTATTTGCTAAGAAATGTGCATTAGGAAAATGGTGACATGATTTTAAATTTCTAAATATTAATAAAATTATTTCAATTGCAGTACAAAAACATTTGAAAAGATACTAAAGGCAGTGACAGTGGCCTCTTGCTTTTGTCAAGGTTGTAGATTCCATATCCCATGATGTCCAAAGTGACAAATTAGTTCAAAGCATAAAACTGTTGTTCTTTTGTACTCATTTTTCTTACCAAGCATTAATGACAATAAGTTTTTGGCATAAAGTACTGTAGTACTCCTTTTTTAAAAAAAGAAAGTTTTTCTAACCTGCGATCTTTGTTTCTTTCCTACCTGTTTACACAATGACATATTTACTTACTTGGTACAAAAATGTTGTTGCTAACATTCTTTGAACTTTCATCTCCCCACCTATTTCCTAATAAAATAGGTAGTCTAATTATCAATTTTTATTTTTAGGAATGTATTAATAATTAAGAGGAAAAATGTTTAAAATACTAACTTTAAAAACAAAACATTTTACTTTCTTCTGAGCAAAATTATATCATGTACTAACTCTTAGCCTTGCAAAAGCCACATAAATTACAGTAAACATGATAAACATTTTATTCTAAAGAACTTCTTATAGAAACCAAGTTTCAGTCACTTACCTGCAAACAGACTATTCCATCTGTTTTGAGGGAAGGGGGAAGAGAGGTCTTCTAATGGCAAAGCAAGAGACAGTTTAGTAACAAAAATTACTCCTGTTTTCAGTGGGAATTCATAGCTATTTCTATTAGGATATGCCCTTGGGACATAAACCAGAAAGTCTACTTTCTTCCCTTCTAACCTCCAAGTCTTTCAGTAACATGAAATGTAGTTCTTTTGTGTGATTTATAGTTCCTTGAAGTTCTCAAGTTCCCTGCAGGAATAATGGAACAATCCACAACTGTTTAACCCTCTTGCTGTCAAGTGATGTTCGAATGGAGATCAAAGTTTCATTTTAGAGAATCTACAAATCCCAGTGTAAAACCATACTTTAAACTTAAAAAAAAAAAAAATTGTGATAATTTCATAAGCATTGAATCTGGAAATGGGTAACTTCTTGGGGCCAAGTATTTTGAAAAGGAAAGATAGAAACGACGCAGGAGCAGAGGGAGGAATACACAATGGTCTGAGATATGTGCCACAGAAATATCTAGTCTCAAAACTTGTCCTTGTGAGTTGAAACTGCAAAAACCAGAAGCAACTGGAACTCTGAATCAACAATTGCTATATAGCCTTTGTGCAAATCTTATCAAATATCCACAACCAGTACACTACAGTAATTCAATGATACCTTGTTTATTTCCAGTAAGCTGCTCTTATGAGGAGTTTAAAAAATTACATTTATACCTTAAAAACTGTCAGTTTCCACTCATCTCCCTTAAGAACTTGGTTCAGTAGATCTGGTGTGGGAACCAGGATTCTTATTTTTATAAGTGTCCCAGGTGATTTTTCTTAAGATACTTGGCAAACACCGATATAGATGACTAAAATAAATGGAAGTTTTGCCTACATATGGATGCTAAACTTGAATTAAATGGAGCCATTTTAAGACCTTGTTCTACTTTTAGCTCATTTAAATTGCCCTATATGCTTTAAGGAAACCCTGATGGTGTAGTAGTTAAGTGCTATGGCTGCTAACCAAAAGGTTGGCAGTTCAAATCCACCAGGTGCTCCTTGGAAACCCTATGGGGCAGTTCTACTCTGTCCTTTATGGTTGTTATGTGTCAGAATTGACTCGACGGCAATGGGTTTTTTTTTTTTCTTCTTTTTTTGGTTTATATGGTTTAATGAAAGGAGACTTTTAAGCTTTGCTTGTTAGAAAACAAAAAGAAAGTTGTTTTGGGAAAATTCTTTCTATAGGGACTAAATAGAAATAATTTTTAAATGATAATGAAGTAATACCGTAGGTTTACTAAATTCAAAAAAATTTGAAAAACTATTTCACCTTTATTTTAAATATTCAAATTGTATTATTTACTTAACATTTTCATTTCATTAGTGATAAAATTAATACTTGTTTAAAAATGGGGCCTGAGAAATTCAAATGTTATTACTTTTTCTTTTAAAAATGTATTTTTGCTTTTCTTAAATTGGTATGCTCATTTAAGAAAATCCAAACCATAAAGTAAAGTACAAAAACTATAAAAACTATTCAAGTTTATACAATCTTAACGTTTTGATAAACTATTCTTTTAGACAGCACTATTAAAAAATACACATACACACACAATTTTACCTAAATGGAATCATACTATGTACACTGTTCCAGCACCTGTTTTCTAAAAACCAGATGTAAAATATTTTTCAGCATCTCTAAAAAAAATCTACATCAAAATTTGTAATGGCTCTATGACATAAATGTACCACAGTTTACTCGGCACTTCAGTTTCATCAGCTGTAAAATAGTATAAAAATAGTAATCTACATAGAAAACTTAAAACAATGCCTGCCACATAATAAGTAGACAATAAATGTTAGCAACTATTATTATTATTGTACAATATGCTGCTTTACGATTTTTCATTATTAAAAGCAATACTTTGATAAACATCTTGTACTTGATTCTTTTTTCTTTTCCTCTTGCTAGGACAAAAGGTATGCTTTCCATAAATTCTTAAAGAAATAGCCTAACTCTGTGTTTGACCATTATTTAGTCTTTTGTAAAACAGTAATCAAGTAAAGTGCTTGAGGTGAATTATAGCACTACAAAGGCCAGTCTTCACTCGTCAATGATTAGTCAATAACATCTAAAATCATGCTTCCTGTCATATGTTGTTGTTAAGTGCAGTTGAATCGGTTTCAACTCAGCGACCATATGCACAACAGAAAGAAACACTGCCTGGTCCTGCACCATCCTCACCATTGTTATGGTTGAGCCCACTGTTGCAGCCACTGCGTCAATCCATCTCGTTGAGGGTCTTCCTCTTTCACTGACCCTCTACTTTACCAAGTATGATGTCCTTCTCCAGGGACAAGTCCCTCCTGATAACATGTCCAAAGAATGTGAGATGAAGTCTTGCCATCCTCCCTTCTAAGGAGCATTCTGGCTGTACTTCTTCCAAGACAGATTTGTTTGTTCTTCTGGCAGTCCATGGTATATTCAATATTCTTCACCAACACCATAATTCAAAGGCATCAATTCCCCTTCGTCTTCCTTATTTATTGCCAAGCTTTCGCATGCATACGAGGCAATTGAAAACACCATGGCTTGGGTCAGGTGTACCTTAGTCCTTAAAGTGACATATTTGCTTTTTAACACATCAAAATGACATATTTGCTTTTTAACACATCAAAATGACATATTTGCTTTTTAACACTTCAAAGTGACAATTTGCTTTTTAACACTTTTACAGCAGGTTTGCCCAATGCAATGTGTCATTTGTTTCCTTGACTGCTGCTTCCATGGGTGTTGATTGTGGATCCAAGTAAAATGAAATCCTTGACATCTTCAGTCTTTTCTCCATTTATCATGATGTTGCTTATTGGTCCAGTTGTGAGGAATTTTGTTTTCTTTATGTTGAGGTGTAATCCATACTGAAGGCTATAGTCTTTGATCTTCATCAGCAAGTGCTTCAAGTCCTCTTCACTTTCAGCAAATGAGGCTGTGTCATCCACATGTTGTTGTTAGGTGCCGTCGAATCCGTTCCAACTCATAGCGACCTTATGCACAACAGAACGAAACACTGCCTGGTTCTGTACCACCCTCACATTTGTTGCTATGCTTGAGCCCATTGTTGCAGCCACTTTGTCAATCCGTCTCATTGATGGTCTTCCTCTTCTTCGATGACCCTCTACTTTACCAAGCATGATGTCCTTCTCCAGGGACAAGTCCCTCCTGATAACATGTCCAAAGTACATGAGATGATGTCTCTCCATCTTTGCCTCTAAGGAGCATTCTGGCTGTGCTTCTTCCAAGACAGATTTGTTCGTTCTTCTGGCAGTCCATGGTATATTCAATATTCTTCGCCAACACCACAATTCAAAGGTGTCAGTTCTTCGGTCTTCCTTATTCATTGTCCAGCTTCGCATGCATATGAGATGATTGAAAACACCATGCCTTGGGTCAGGCTCACCTTATTCCTCAAGGTAACATCTTTGCTTTTCAACACTTTAAAAGGGTCTTTTGCAGCTGATTTGCCCAATGCAGTGCTTCTTTTGATTTCTTGACTGCTACTTCCATGGGTGTTGATCATCAATCCAAGTAAAATGAAATCCTTGACACCCTCGATATTTTCACCATTTGTCATGATGTTGCGTATTGATCCAGTTGTGTGGATTTTTGTTTTCTTTATGTTGAGGTGTTATCCATACTGAAGGCTATGGTCTTTGATCTTCATCAGTAAGAGCTTCAAGTCCTCTTCATTTTCAGTAAGCAAGGTTGTGTCACCTGCATATTGCAGGTTGTTAGTGAGTCTTTCTCCGATCCTGATGTCCCATTATTCTTCATATAGTCCAGCTTCTCGGATTATTTGCTCAGCATACAGATTGAATGAATATGGTGAAAGGATAGAACCCTGACCCACACTTTTCCTGACTTTAAACCACGCAGTAGCCCCCTGTTCTGTTCAAATGACTCCCTCTTGATCCATGTACAGATTCCTCATGAGCACAATTAAGTGTTCTGGAATTCCCATTCTCTGCAATGTTATCCATAATTTGTTATGATCCACACAGTTGAATGCCTTAGCATAGTCAATAAAACACAGATAAACATCTTTCTGGTATTCTCTGCTTTCAGCCAGGATCCATCTGACATTAGCAATGATATCCCTGGTTCCACGTCCTCTTCTAAATCCGGCTTGAATTTCTGGCAGTTCCCTGTCAAGTACTGCTGCAACTGCTTTTGAATGATCTTCAGCAAAATTTTGCTTACATGTGATATTAATGATATTGTTCGATAATTTCCACATTCTGTTGGATTACCTTTCTTGGGAATAGGCATAAATATGGATCTCTTCCAGTCGGTTAGGTAGCCAAGTAGCTGTCTTCCAAATTTCTTGGCAAAGATGAGTGAACTTCCAGCACTGCATCCGTTTATTGTAACATCTCATTTGGTATACCATCAATTCCTGGGGACTTGTTTTTCACCAGTGCCTTCAGTGCAGCTTAGACTTCTTCGTTCAATACCATCGGTTCTTGATCATTTGCTACCTCCTGAAATGATTGAACATCGACCAATTCTTTTTGGTACAGTGACTCTATGTATTCCTTCCATTTTCTTTTGATTCTTCCTGCATCGTTCCGTAATTTGCCCATAGAATCCTTCACTATTGCAACTTGAGGCTTGAATTTTTTCTTCAGTTCTTTCAGCTTGAGAAGTGCCGAGCATGTTCTTCCCTTTTGGTTTTCTAACTCCAGGTCTTTGCACGTGTCGTTGTAATACTTGATCTTCTTGAGGTGCCCTTTCAAATCTTCTGTTCAGCTTTTTCACTTCATCATTTCTTCCTTTCGCTTTAGCTACTCAACATTCAAAAGCAAGTTTCAGAGTCTCTTCGGACATCTATTTTGGTCTTTTCTTTCCTTCTTGTCTTTTTAATGACCTCTTGCTTTCTTCATGTATGATGCCCTTGATGTCATTCCACACAATCACACAATCACACGGTCTACTATGCCGGGAACGACAACTTGAAGAGAAATGGTGTTGCATTCATCATCAAAAAGAACATTTCAAGATCTATCCTGAAGTACAACGCTGTCAGTGATAGGATAATATCCATACGCCTACAAGGAAGACCAGTTGATTCGACTATTCAAATTTACGCACCAACTGCTAAGGCCAAAGATGAAGAAATTGAAGATTTTTACCAACTTCTGCAGTCTGAAATTGATGTCATTCTTCAGCTCACCTGGTCTTCGGTCATTAGTGTACAATGCATCCAGTCTATTCTTGAGAGAGTCTCTAAATTCAGGCAGGATATACTCAAGGTCGTACTTTGGCTCTCGTGGACTTGTTCTGATTTTCTTCAGCTTCAACTTGAACTTGCATATGAGCAATTGATGGTCTGTTCCACAGTCGGCCCCTGACCTTGTTCTGGCTGATGATTTTCCATTGTCTTTTTTCCACAGATGTAGTCAGTTTGATTCCTGTGTATTCCATCTGGCTAGGTCCACATGTACAGTCACCGTTCATGTTGTTGAAAAAAGGTATTTGCAATAAAGAAGTTGTTGGTCTTGTAAAATTCTATCATACGATGTCTGGTATTGTTTCTATCACCAAGGCCATATTTTCTAGCTACCAATCCTTTTTATTTGTTTCCATCTTTCACATTCCAATCACTAATAATTATGAATGCATCTTGATTGCATGTTTGGTCAATTTCAGACTGCAGAAGTTGGTAAAAATCTTTAATTTCTTCATCTTTGGCCTTAGTGGTTGGTGCATAAATTTGAATAATAGTCTAATTAACTTGTCTTCCTTGTAGGCATGTGGATATTATCCTATCACTGACAGTGTTGTACTTCATAATAGATCTCGAAATGTTCTTTTTGATGATGAATGCAACGCCATTTCTCTTCAAGTTGTGATTCCTGGCATAGTAGACCATATGATTGTGTGATTCAAAATGGCCAATACTAGTCCATTTCAGCTCACTAATGCCTAGGATATCGA